AATACTGTCTCAGATACAGACAGAGGGAATCCTCCATAAATCATTCTATGAAGCCAGTATCACCCTAATACCAAAACCAGGAAAGTACATAACAAAAAAGAAAACTACAGATCAATATCCCTGATGAACATAGATGCAAAAATCCTTAACAAAATACTGGTTAACTGAATCCAACAATGTATCAAAAATATAATCCACCATGATCAAGTGGGTTTCATATCAGGGATATAGGGATGGTTTAACATACACAAGTCAATAAATGTGATATGCCACATAAACAGAATTAAAAACAAAAATCACATGATCATCTCAACAGATGCAGAAAAATCATTTGACAAAATCCAGCATCGCCTTCATGATTAAAACCCTCAGCAAAATCAGCATACAAAGGGATGTACCTCAATGTAATAAAAACCATCTGTGACAAGCCCACGGCCAACATAATACTGAATGGGGAAAAGTTGCAAGCATTCCCTCTGAGAACTAGAATAAAACAAGGATGCCCACTCTCATCACTTCTATTCAACATATTACTGGATGTCCTAGCCAGAGCAATTAGACGAGAGAAAAAAATAAAGGGCATCCAAATCAGTAAAGAGGAAGTTAAAGTGTTGCTGTTTGCTGATGATATGATCCCATACCTAGAAAACCCTAAAGATTTCTCCAAGAGAACTCCTAGAACTGATAAATGAATTCAGCAAAACTTCAGGATACAAAATTAATGTACACAAATGAGTAACTCTCCTATATATCAACGGCAACCAAGATGAGAATCAAATCAAGAACTCAACCCCTTTTACAATAGCTGCACAAACAGACAAACAAACAAAAAAATTTAGGAATATACCTAACCAAGGAGGTGAAACACCTCTACAAGGAAAACTACAAAATACTGCTGAGAGAAATCATAGACAACACAAACAAATGGAAATGGAAACACATCCCTTGCTCATGGATGGGTAGAATCAATATTGTGAAAATGACCACACTGCCAAAAGCAATCTACAAAATCAGTGCAATTCCCATCAAAATACCACCATCATCCTTCAAAGAATTAGAAAAAAAAAAAAAAATTCTAAAATTCATATGGAACCAAAAAGGAGCCTGCATAACCAAAGCAAGACTAAGCAAAAAGAACAAATCTGCAGGCATCACATTACCTGATTTCAAACATACTATAAGGCCATAGTCACCAAAACAGCATGGTACTGGTATAAAAAATACACATAGACCAACGGAACAGAATAGTGAACCCCAAAATAGATCCAAGTACTTACAGCCAACTGATCTTTGACAAAGCAAATAAACAGCTAAAGTGGGGAAAGGACACCCTATTCAACAAATGGTGCTGGAATAATTGGCTAGCCACATGTAGGAGAATGAAACTGGATCCTCATCTCTCACCTTATACAAAAATCAACTCAAGATGGATTAAGGACTTAAATCTAAGACCTGAAACCATAAAAATTCTAGAAGATAACATTGGAAAAACCCTTCTACACATTGGTTTAGGCAAGAGTTTCATGACCAAGCGCCCAAAAACAAATGCAACAAATACAAATACAAATACAAATAAATATTAATACAAACAAATAGCTGGGACTTAATTGAACTAAAGTGCTGTTGCATGGCAAAATAAACAGGAGAGTAAACAGACAACCCACAGAGCGGGAGAAAATCTTCACAATCTATACATCTGACAAAGGACTAATATCTAAAATGACCCCAAACAAATCAGCAAGAAAGAAAAAACAATCCCATAAAAAATGGGCAAAGGACATGAATAAACAATTCTCAAAAGAAGATATGCAAATGGCCAATGAACATATAAAACCATGCTCAACATCACTAATGATCAGGGAAATGCAAATCAAAACCACAATGAGATACCACCTTACTCCCGCAAGAATAGTCACAATAAAAAAATAATAGATATTAAGGTGGATGCGGTAAACAGGGAACACTTCTACACTGCTAGTGGGATTGTAAACTAGTACAACTACTATGGAAAACAGTGTGGCAATTCCATAAAGAACTAAAAGTAGAACTACCATTTGATCCAGCAATCCCACTACTGGGTGGGAAAAGAAAGAGGATACCTGCACAGACATGTTTATAGCAGAAGAAAAGAGGAAAAGAAAGAGATACCTGCACAGGCATGTTTATAGCAGCACAATTTGCAATTGCAAAAATGTGGAACCAGCCCCAATGCCCATTAATCAATGAGTGGATAAGAAACTGTGAATGATGAAATACTACTCAGACATAAAAAGGAATAAACTAATAGCATTCGCAGCAACCTGGCTGGGATTGGAGACTATTATTCTAAGTGAAGTAACTCAGGAATGAAAAAACCAAACATCGTATGTTCTCACTCATAAGCGGGAGCTAAGCTATGAGGATGCAGAGGCATAAGAATGACACAGTGGACTTTGGGACTCGGGGGAAAGGGTGGGAAGGGGCTGAGGGATTAAAGACTACAAATTGGGTTCAGTGTATACTGCTTAGATGATGGGTGCATCAAAATCTCACACATCATCACTAAAGAACTTACCTGTTCCCCAAAAAACCAATTTTAAAAAAGAAAAAATATAGAGTGGCAGATGTTCCCAACCTCTGTATGTGAGAGAATGTCTTTGTTAAATTCACAGCAGAAAGATATTCTTATAAATACAGTCATAATGCAGTCACAAGGTGGCATCTTCCTCCTATCTTCACTGCCTGCCACTGTGATTCACTGATACTGTGTTATAGTTTTGTTTTTAAAACAAAACAAAACAAAACATGACAACTAGCATGCGTGGAAACAGACATTTTTCCTGCCTCTGCTCCCATGACTGGACTTGATGCTTAGTATATCTCAGGTGGATCTTTGCCAGCACCACTCTCTGCTTTCTTCCTCGGTCCCTCTTCCATCCTTCCCCAAATGCACATTGCAACTTATCTGTTCACAGTATCTGCTTCAATGTAGAAAGATGGGTGCTGTGAAGTGAGGGTAGGGCTGGTGTCCTCAACTAAAGCAGAGGTCCCAATGGGTAGACAGGATTGAGGTTCCATTCCTGATTGAACAAAATGTGGGACTCTGAATCACAGTTAGGTGGTGAGAACAATATAATGCATGCCTCTTGCCCTAGCCCACCAACACATTTTTTTTTTTTTTTTTTTCCCCCAGAAGTCTTTATTTCATGAGATGAAGTCAGGATAGGCTTTTTTGCACTTCAGGTCCATGTTGTCATTTCTATACCTTTAAGTTGCTTTTTCTTTCTTTTTTTTTTTTTTTTTTTGAGTCAGAGTTTCACTCTGTCGCCCAGGCTGGAGTGCAGTAGTGCGATCTCGGCTCACTGCAACTGCCACCTCCTGGGTTCAAGTGATCATCCTGTCTCAGCCTCCCGAGTAGCTGGAACTTCAGGCATGTGTCACCATGCCCAGCTATTTTTTTTTTTTTTTTGTATTTTTAGTAGAGACAGGGTTTCACCATATTGGTCAGGCTGGTGTCCAACTCCTGACCTCAAATGATCCACCCGCCTCAGCCTCCCAAAGTGCTGGGATTATAGGTGTGAGCCACTGTGCCCAGCCTTTCTAATCTTAATTTTTAGTCTAACAAGTTTTTATCATCTTCTGCATCTATTACTGTGGTATAGGCCCAAGTTTCTCAACTTCACCACTATTGTCATTTGGGGCTAGATGATTCTTTGTTGTGGGGGCTGCTAGTGCATTGTAGGAGGTTTAGTTGCACCCCTTATCCCTATACACTAGATGCCAGTAGTACTGCCTCATCCGCCAAATGTCTCCAGACATTGCCTAAGATTCCTGGGAGTGAGACATGCAAATTCCTCCTGCTGGGAACCACTGCTTTAGACTAGAGAGTAGAAGGGACTACAGAGCACTGGGAAGCAGTGGCAAGAGTTGGAGCAGCAGTCTTAATAACACTCAGGCAGGACTTCTCTAATTGATGTGTCCCCACTCTCTTACCATGAGGATAAGTAACATAGGCCTGACTGTTCATCTTGTTGGAGGTACACAATGCCAGAGTGCTGTTCTTAGGCATTCACCCTCAGGGCATGTGTCAGAATTATCCAGAGAGCTTTGAATGTGCCTAGGCCTATGGCAGACCTCTCAAAATACTATTAACTTGAGTTTGTGGGGTAAAAGTCTTTCTCAGGTTATAAATCTGAAGAAGAGACTAAATGTGGCATCCAAAGAGAAACCAAAGTGAGAGAAAAATTAAAGACCTATTTTTAATTTACTTTTCCAAGCCTTTTTGAGACCAGCTCTACCCTCTCCCCTTTCCCTAGTTTAGTTATACAAACAAAGAAACCCCTTTTTGTTTAAATGAGGAGACATTGGGTGCCACTTACTTGCAGCAAGAGTTCTAAACCAATTGCATACCTCCTTGGTTTGTGCGGGGAACACAGGAGATGGCACACATTGCAGATGCCACGGTGCTTTGCACATAAAGGGCTTCATGATGTGTTTTAAATAACACAGAGTAGATGAAATTTGGAAAACCATTCTCTTTTTTTTAAAAAAAGTCCCAACTCAAATGAGGTCTTACTCATTTCCCAGGAAGAATGAGATCTTTCTCCTCCTTGCTCCTTCTTCTCTGCTTTTGCAATCATCCTACTGCTTTGTAATTGTTTGCAAATCTATGTTCTTTTCTAATGTTTTTCACCTTTAAATCCTCAGTATCTTACATGCTGGGACATAGTAGGTGGTCAATAAAGTATTGTTAGGAAAATAATTTGAAGAACATTCATGATTAAAGGTGGCAATAAGAGCAACCAGCCAGCATTTATTGAGTACCTCCTATGTTCCAAGCACTGTCCTAAGAATTTTACTTTTTTATGACTTAATCCTTATGACAGCCCTTAATATGTTACCGTTATTACTCCATTTTACAAATGAACAAACTGAGTCAAGGCTATACAACTAGTAAATGGCAGAGTCATGATTTCGCCCAGGAAAACTGATGCCAGAGCCCTAACGTATTAACCAATACATTGTGATGCTTGTCACTGAAAGTATTTTGGTAAGTACAGATGGAGTTAAATCTTTCACTATTAGAAACAGAGGAAACTGAGATCACTGAATTCCATCATGAAATAGATACTGATGCTGAGCCAAGGATTGGAAGTGACTCAGTTCAGGTGGTTTACATAACTGTAGGCTGATCTACACAGGATTCCTGACTCCTAGCTGGAATCTTTTAACCAAAGGTCCCACCCTCATGCAAAGTGCACCTTTCCTTTACCCGTGCGCTATCCCCTTTGGGGGTCCTGCTTTGGAAAAACTACCCCAGGTAGCAACTTGTTTCAAAGCAGATATATGCCAGGTATCATTCAAAGCCAGGTCAATCTTATCTGTTGAAATAGATCAACAGCACATGACAGGGGTTTGGGGACCCCCTACTCATGCTTCAGATTTCAGCACAAACTTTCCGTCCTCAGAGAAGGCTTCTCCGGCCTCTCCAAGGTCAACTCTGTCTACCTAAACTCTCCTTTATTTAGCATGGTCAGTTGTCATTACATATATTTTGTATGTTACTATCTGGTTAATGGTCACCTGACTTGTTACCGTTTAAGTTCCTTAAGGATAGAATCCGTGTCAATTTTTGTTCCTTATATTTACAGTGCCTCACATAGCTCCTGGCACACAATGGGCATTCAAAAAGTATTTGTTAAAATCAGGAAAGAATGAATAAATTCACGACTGAAGCACCATGACAAATCATTCCTATGGAATGCATAAGGTTAGATGCAACCCCTTTATGGTGTGATCTGAGGGGGCCCTCAAGGGTCTGCACGCTCACACACACCACTGATTAGAAATCCCCATCAGGAAAATTGTACAATCATCTATTTGGTGAGGGCTTTGGGACACTGAATGGGGGAAGAGAAACACAAAAGGTGAGCAAGCAGTTTTCAAAGGATGCTTTCAACTCCCTGGCCAGCCCGCGTCTATGTTTTCGTCTACAAAGTGTTTCCAATTACTGTGGCACTCTCGGTATCTGGATCCATCTCCAGTGAATTCCTCTGCAGCTCCTGCCAGACATATGGGATCAATCAGGGCTTCGGCGCTGGTGCGCTTGCTGCGGGAATGTTGACAGCCTGACAGACGCGGGGTTCTGGTGTCATGGAATCTCCGAGCCTTTGGCTTGAACCCGGGAGGAGAATGAGAGGGGGAGGAGGGAGATAGAGTCAGAGATACAGAAAGGAGACAGGAGCGGGGAGAGGGAGAGAGGGAGAGAAGGAGGGAAGCGGGAGATTTTTCTTGACTGCCCCCTTTCCTTCAAACATTTTATAGGCTTCAGGGAGAGAGAGGAGGAGGAGAGAGGGAAGAAAAAAAGAGGAGAGCGAGAGGGGTAGAGAGCGCGCGCTGTTCCCTCCGGAGTTTCCGAGCTGCTGAGGAGTCTGGATTGTGTCTGTCCCCAGTGTCAGATGAAAAGGCGCTGAGGCTCTTGGCCGCTGCCCCGCGCCCCGCTCCGCGCACGCCCCTCTGCGAGTCGGGCCGCAGGGCGCCTCTTCCCGCCGGAGCCGCCGCCTGCGCTCCGGGGCAGCCGCTCTGTCTCCAGCGCGATGTGGCCTCGCCTGGCCTTTTGTTGCTGGGGTCTGGCGCTCGTTTCGGGCTGGGCGACCTTTCAGCAGATGTCCCCGTCGCGCAATTTCAGCTTCCGCCTCTTCCCCGAGACCGCGCCGGGGGCCCCCGGGAGTCTCCCAGCGCCGCCGGCTCCTGGCGACGAAGCGGCGGGGAGCAGAGTGGAGCGGCTGGGCCAGGCGTTCCGGCGACGCGTGCGGCGGCTGCGGGAGCTCAGCGAGCGCCTGGAGCTCGTCTTCCTGGTGGATGATTCGTCCAGCGTGGGCGAAGTCAACTTCCGCAGCGAGCTGATGTTCGTCCGCAAGCTGCTATCCGACTTCCCCGTGGTGCCCACGGCCACGCGCGTGGCCATCGTGACCTTCTCGTCCAAGAACTACGTGGTGCCGCGCGTCGATTACATCTCCACCCGCCGCGCGCGCCAGCACAAGTGCGCGCTGCTCCTCCAAGAGATCCCTGCCATCTCCTACCGGGGTGGCGGCACCTACACCAAGGGCGCCTTCCAGCAAGCCGCGGTAAGGTGCCCGCCCCTCCCGGCCCCGGCCCTAGTCCCCAGGCCCTTCCCACTCACCGCTGCCTGCCCGTCTCTAACCCGGGGTTCAGTCCTGGGCAAGGCATAACCTCCCCAAGTCCGGCGTCCCCATCCACAAAACTATAGTCATAGCTTACCCCCCTGTTATTATTGTGGGGGCTCCAATGGGATAATGGATTTTTAAACGCTTAGAGAGATGTCAGGTTCCTTAAATAGTTGGCTTTGAGGACCTGTTAAGAAGGGATCCTTGAGACGCTAATCACATTCACATTTGTAGGAGCAGAGGCATCCAAGCTGAAACAGGTGAGTATGGTTTACAAAGTGTTTCTAAAGGTAGGACATGGAGTGATCTGAGCGTAACCCCAATTCTTTTTAAAGTTATGTTATGCTTTCAATGTAAGATTCTTGCCCTTCCTATTTTTGCTCCAATCCTCTATTAGATTTTTAACATCTGGAAGAGGAAGTCAGTTTGGAACGTCGGACTTTTATAAAATGTGTCTGTGTTTCTGGTTACAAATTAATTCATATTCAGTGGGGAAAAAAGGAACATATAGAAATTCTAACACATAATAGCAAACCAGTGTTTGTAGAATGAATTAAACAAAAAGGAGGGAAAGGGAAAAAAGAAAAACCTAAAATTTCATCATTTTAAAAAAGCCATTGTTTGCAGGTTGTGGAACAGTTGCCCAGTATGTGCATCCTTTCATACTTTTAACCAAATTGGTATCTTGCTGTTTTGTAGCCTACATTTTTCATTTGTTATATCCTAATTAAAATGTTCTACATTAGCTGCATACTATTCCATTGCATGCAACAATCATCTATTGTTGGACACTTAGGATTTTTCCTTACTAAGTTATCGTGAACATAAATATTTGTGGACTCTTTTGTTTACATCTTTAGGAAGAATTTCTGTAAGAGTTCTCGAACTAAAGGTTAGGAACATTTGTAACTTCTTGATACATATTGTCCATTTCTCCCTTGGAGGGTTGTATAAATTTATATTCTCATCAGCAGAGTATATCAGCAGTAAATTTGTCACATATTCACCAATATCATATACTATCTTTTAATATCTTTGTCAATTTAAGATGTGATAGAGGCATCATTTTAGCAAATACACATTTTTGATTTTTGAGGATGAACATTTTCCAGTACATCTACTGGACATTTGTATTTTGTCCTTTGATAATTATCATAGTTTTTGCCCATTTTGCCATTATAGTGCACATTGGCTTATTTTTTTTCTTAATGATTTGCCAAAGCTCTTTATATATGAGGCCAGTAATTCTTTTGTGTATATGCTGCAAATGTTTTTCTAGTTCACTGCCTTTTATTTTTGTTTATGGAAATGTTGTTAGATGAATGGTTTACATTTTTATACACTCAAATCTATCAAACATTTTCCTTAAGATCCTATATTCATAGTTTTAGAATAGCTCTCTCATTTCCCAAATCAGAGAAATAGTTTTCCATGTAGCAGCTTAATCCATCTGGAATTTATTTTTGTGTATGGTATGACAAAGAGGTCTAATTTAATTTTTAACAATAAATAGTTAACCAGTTGTTCCAGCACTACTTGCTTAATAGCCATCTGTCCTTTTCCAATTTAACTGAATGTCACGTTTTACATGTGGTAAATGCTTATGGGTATTTGATCTCTTCCTGGCTTTCTATTTCCTCCCATTTTCTATGTCATTTGTATCATTGCCAAAATGATTTAACTATTGTAACTTTACAACATATTTAAATATCTGGTAGTGCAAATTCTCCTTTTTAAACATCTCTTCTTTTTCTAGTTAATACCCACTTATTATTTAATATGAATTTTAAATTCATTTTTACATATTACCAATGAAGTCAGTAAGGATTTTGATTTCAATATAGAAAATATTGAATTAACTTGGGGATTATTTATATTTTATAGTAATAATTCTTCCATTTCAAAAGTGTAAGACCTTATATTTTCTCAAAGTCTTAGAATAGCCTTCTCATTTCCCAAATCAGAGAAATAGTGTTCTATTTAACAGTTTAATCCATCTGGAACTTACTTTTGTGCATAGTATGACAAAGATGTCTAATTTTATTTTTCAAATAAATTAGCAGTTGACCCAGCACTATTTGGTTCATATAATTTGCTTAATAGCATTTATGCGTATTCTTTATACATATACATTTATGCATAATCCTTAACAAAGTTGTAGATTTTTAGAAATTAAGTCCTGTATGTATTTTTCATATTTATATGTAAATATATTCTGTTCAATATTACTATCATGAATAGCATCTTTTAAAATTAAATTTCACACAACTTTTCTTGATGTATAGAAACATTGATTTTTAAAAATATGCCTTCTATGTTTGGATTTTTGTTGAAGCCTCTTTGATTCTTTTTTTCTCTTTTTATATACATTTTATTTTGCTGATAATAAATGTTTATTGTAGAAAATAAAATAATCAGGAAAACTATTTCCTGGAAATACACTGTCATAGTTTGGTACATAGCCTCCCTTGACTTTATTCAGTTGTCTAGGTAACAGACATGTTTTCATACATATATTATGCATAAATTATGTTTACCCAGAAAAAAGGATTCAATTGTACATCCTCTTGTAATTTGACTTTGTATTCCCACCATATATTTCAGTCTTCTTTCCAAAATAAGGAACGTATTTCTACTATCATTATTTTTCATGGTCATACAGTTTTCCACTGTAGAATGTGCTTTCGTGTGTGTGTGTGTGTGCGTGTGAGAGAGAGAGAGACTACCTATTATTATATATTTACGCTGTTACAAACATTGTATAACTAAATCTTTGCCCATATCTCTAATCATTTCCTTAATGCAGATTCTTGAAGTGCCATTATTGCACCAAAGAATATTCATGTTTTTTAAGGCATTTAATACATGTGTCAAGTTGCTCTGCAGAAAATGGTGCCAACCTGCCCTCCACATGCAGTGACAGTGTCAGGACCTGGGGTGCAGACCAGCCAGTGCAGGCTAATATCATTTGAAGATTCCACCCCCAAACCCCCAACTTTCTAAGTGAGAAATGGAGTCCCATTTTAAATTGCATTTCCCTATTAGTGAGGCTGAATATTGAAAAAATATGTTATTGTCCACATATGGCTCCTTTTTTTTGAATACCCATTAAGATATTTGAGGATTATTATCCAGTTTTTAACTGGGGATGGCTCTCTTTCTTATTGATTTGCAAATGCTCTTTAAATCTTAATGGTATTAACCCTGAGCTGTCAGTGACCCAAGTATGTGGCAAATATTTTTTCTCAGTGCTTTAATTTTGTTTAAGGTGATAGCAACAAATGTTTTGTTAGTCTGTTGGATCTATTTTTCTTTTCATTTGTGCTGTTTTCATCGTTTATGAAGGTTTAAAGACTTTTGCCTTTAAGAGATGAAATAGCTACCCTAAAAATGCTCTCTGTGTGTTGAAGCAGTCACGCCACGCAGGGTATAGTTTTGCAGCTCTTGTTCCCTGTTGGACCTGGTCTCTGCTCTAAATACTCATGAGGTCCTGAAGGCTGGCCTTATTCCTAATGCCATGGTCTACTCCATCAAGGAAGAACCCTGCTGCATCAGGGTAAAACCTGCCAGGTACCAGCTCCTCTGTTTGACTTGGCCAGACTTGCCCAGGGCCTCTGAGAATGTTTATCCAAAACAGTAAAATGGGTAATGAGTCGAGTACACAGTGCTCCCCTCAAGACCTACTCTGTCTTCAGCTTTCCCCTTCCAAGTACTACATCCTGTCTTGGAATGTGAAATTGCCAACAAGGTTCCCAGTGCTGCTCTTCAACCTGGATCCATTTGTAATCTAACAAGCAGGGATTTCTCAAAAGTTTGAGAAATTTGACTTTGTATTCCCACCATATATTTCAGTCTTCTTTCCAAAATAAGGAATGTATTTCTACTATCATTATTTTTCATGGTCATACAGTTTTCCACTGTAGAATGTGCTTTCGTGTGTGTGTGTGTGTGCGTGTGAGAGAGAGACTACCTATTATTATATATTTACGCTGTTACAAACATTGTATAACTAAATCTTTGCCCATATCTCTAATCATTTCCTTAATGCAGATTCTTGAAGTGCCATTATTGCACCAAAGAATATTCATGTTAGCTGGTCTTCCCTTTGACTTCATTTTTATTTTTATTTTTTCTCATTTTGGTTGGGTTATGAGAAGGTACAAAAGAAGGTCAGCTGGCTCAGTCCCTGTCTAAACTGGAAGCTTACGTGTCTTCATTGTAACTTTTCCAAGCCTCTGATGAGCATTCTTAGATATAACTAAAATATAAGATTTAGAGAAAATTGGTAGAAGACGACCAACGTTTAGAAATGGTGTTGGTTGAGGCTTGAATTTTTGCATAGGGATCAGGCAGAAGCATTTAGCGACCAAGTTAGTTTGAAAATGGTAAGCTGTCTTGTGTGAGTTTTGACCTGAAACTTTGTACATTTCACCATGGAAATGAGATCATTCATCAGATTCCCGCATGTGTGCAGAATGGTAATATTATAACTGATTGTGACCTAGCCTTTGTGTGAAATTGAAAATCACAGGGATATTTTTGAGTTTATTAATTACTCCCTGGAAAAATTAGTTTTTCAAAGCTTTTCTGTTTGAAACTGAATGCTTACACAACTGTGCCCTGACACAATCACAGGCAAACACATAAACATGTATGGTGCATAGGCACACCTCGCAAGCACACAGTTACCCCTCAGGGAGACATCTTATTCCTCTTATGTAAAAACTGGGAGATGTAGAATTTTCTTTAACAACATGAAACTTGCTGTTATTTCTCAGCAGATGGGACTGACCAGACAAAAAGGATAACAGTGTTGCTTCACTTTTTATTTATTTATTTATTTATTTATTTATTTTTTTTAATGATTATTATTTGGTGTCAGATTTGGACAACTCGAGGGGTAGTATATGAATGGGTACTCACGATTATCACACCTGATT